ATACTTCCGTTGAGAAATGAAGATACCATCCTTAGATCTGGCAACTTCAATTCCCAAGAAATATCTGAGTTCTCCCAAGTTTTTAATTTCAAACTCAATGTTAAGAAAGCTTTTGAGATGAACAACTTCCTAAGTATCATTACCAGTAACCACAATATCATCAACATAGACAATCAGAAGGGTCACTAAGGAATCTCTCCTCTTAACAAACAAAGTATGATCCGACTGAGTCTATGTGTACCCAAAAGCAACAAGAGCAGCCTGAAATCTGTCAAACTAGGCTCTAGGAGATTGCTTAAGGCCATAAAGAGACTTCTTTAGCTTACAAACCTTTCCTTGCATCTTCTTCCCATACACCCCTGGAGGTGAAGACATATAGACCTCTTCATGTAGGTCCCCATTCAAAAAAGCATTCTTTACATTAAACTAATGAAGAGGCCAATCAAAAGCAGTAGCTAAAGATAACAAAACTCGAACTGAAGTCTTCTTAGCTACTGGGGCAAAAGTTTCTAAGTAGTCAATACCATACATCTGGGTATATCCTTTAGCAACCAAACGGGCCTTATATCTCTCAACAGTACCATCAGAGTGATACTTAATAGTGAACACCCGCTTACAGCCAACCAGTTCCTTTCCCTCAGGCAAATCCACAATTTCCCAGGTATTGCTCTTATGCAAAGCATCTAGTTCAGTCATCATAGCTTCCCTCCATTCTGGTTTGGACAAGGCATCTAGGACAGATCTGAGAGTCACATGTGTGGAAACAGAGGCAAGGAATGAATAGTAGGAAGGGGAAAGAAGGCAGTAGGACAGGTGTTTGGAAATGCAATAAGCTATACATATTTGTTTGCCTTTGCGAAGGGCAATAGGGAGATCACGATCAGGGAAGGTATACGAAGTGGTAGAAGAGGGCTGACATGTTACCTCAGTAGTGATGGGAGGAGCAAGAGGCACATCTGAAGGCGTAGAAACAACTTGCATGTCTCTGAGTCTTTGTCTCTGGTACCACCTCTGGGTAATAGGATGGGAAGGAAAAGTAGGAGGATGACTAGGAGGAGGGAGAGCAGGGATAGATGACTCGACTGAAGGAGACTTCAATGGGAATTGGAAAAGGAACAGATGGTGACAATGCAAACAACTCCTCTGAATGCTCCCCCTCAAGAGAAGTACCAAAGAAAGGAACAAATTCTACAAATGTGACATCTCTAGAAACAAAACGAGTGCCACGAACCAGATCAAAACAACAGTACCCCTTCTGTGTGGAGGCATATCCCAAAAAGACACACTTGTGTGCTTTAGGCTCAAACTTATGTCTTTGATGATTGTGAACATGAACATAGCTGTTAGGTTGAAGGTTTTGTATGTATTGATGGTTCGGCTTATAAGAGTTCTTATTAGCCTGTATTTGAGTTTAAGTTGTTATGTATTGGGCCTGTGTTAATGGGCCTAAGTCTGTTTAGTGTTTTAAGTTGTCTGGGTGTCCCATCACTAATCAGGGSCATCCCAGTCATTTCATGTAACATTGTATTGTACTTTAATATAAATAATAGTATTGTCGACTGGGTTAGTTCAGTTCGACATTCACAGCATTTATTGGTCTTCTCCTCTCTTCTACTGCTTCAGCTACAGCACTTCAGCTTTCAATAGCAAGTGCACCCAAACACCTTGAGAGGAAGAGAGAAGAGATCCTCATTTGGGAAAAGCAAGCTAAAGGAAGTTTTAAACCCCAAAACCCTAGAAGACATTCGGTTTTTCAAGTATGTAGCTGTAATGATAGCATCACCCCAAAACTTAATAGGAACATGGGAAGCAAAAAGGAGGCTCATCGCAACCTCAACCACATGTCTGTTCTTCCTTTCTGCCACTCCATTTTGTTGAGGAGTGTAGGAATAGGAACTCTGATGAATAACTCCAAAGGTATCAAAGTAGGAGGAAAGACTCTTCTCAAAATATTCCTTTACATTATCAGATCGGAATATTTTGATCTGAGTGTTAAATTGGGTAAGTATAAGTTCATGAAATTTTTGTACAATATTTGGTACTTCATCCCGAGATTTTATAAGGTAAATCTAGGTGTAACGAGAGAAATCATCAATGAAAAGAATGAAATATTTGTAACCCCCCATAGCAGGTAAATGATATTGCCCTCACACATCAGAGTGCACAATATGGAAAGGAGAAACAAATCTTTTATTACTCACTGAAAAATATTGTCTACAATGTTTTGTAAGTTCACATGACTCACAATGAAGACTCGATAGGGATATTCCCTTAAACATTTTTGGAAACAAATGACTCAAAGTTGAAAAAGACAAATGGCCAAATCCGAAATGACATATCATGACTCTATTAACTGACTCTGATAAACAGACTCCAAAGCTACTCCACTAGGTAATCCAAGACTTTGATCGACATCCAGCAAGTATATCCCATTCGCCTCATGGCCACTCCCAATCGTCCTCTGAGACTTCAAGTCCTGAAAAGCACAATAAGTAGGAAAGAAGGTTATGTTGTAGTTCATTGATTTTGTTAAGCTACTAACAGATAAAAGGTTAGTGCTAAGTTTGGGAACATGAAGGACAAAGGATAATACAAGTGAGTCAAAGGCTTTGATATTCCCCTTGCTAGAGATGGGAGCAAGTGACCCATCGGCAAGAGAAATCTTCTCTCTACCCAAGAGGATTTGGTATGAACAAAAAAGGTTGGGTATGCTAGTCATATGGTCTGATGCACCAGAATATATGATCCAAGGAATTCTACGATTACCTAAGGCTGTAGCATGATTTGCATAAGCACGAATACCTGAATGAGCAAAAGCAGATGTAGAGGGGGTGCCCGAGGAGGAAGATGCAACAATAGACTCCAAGTGGTTTATCAACTCCCCATACTCTCAAATTTTGCCTTCACTGCTGCCAATTGTTCCACGGCAAATTTTTCTTCACATTCAGATACTGTAGCAACATTTGCATTCTTGTGCTTTCCAAACTGACCACCCTTCTTAAAGTTGTTTTGAAACCTCTTAGGAAGAAAATTTGGATGAAGCTTCCAACAAGAATCCTTAGTATGTTTCGGCTTCTTGCAGTATTCACATATCACCTCCTTTTTTTCATTTAGCCCCTTTGGTTTTATTCCAGCATGTGCAAAATGTTTTAGAGGAGGTGGGGTCTGTACCTGTACCTGTCACCTACTCTCTTCATTGCTCACCCTAGAGTATGCCTAAGCAAGAGACATATCATCCTTAGCCAAGATATTCTACCTTGTAATATCAAATTCAGGATTGAGTCCTGTAAGGAAGTCAAACACCCTGTTTCTTTCCACAAATTTCCTGAAAGTTTTTGCATCTTTGGTGCTTTCCCATACAAATGCTTCCATAACACCTATTTCCTGCCATAGTGACTTCAACATCCAATAGTAGACAGCCACACTCTTCTCCCCCTGTTTTAAATTTTTCACATCATTCTTCAGTTTGTAGGCCCTTGTAACATTTAATTTCTGAGAGTATGTCTTTGCCACACTATCCCAAATCTCCTTGGCTGAAGTCATCCACAAATAGTGTTGACTTATGTGGGGCTGCATAGAATTTACCAACCACCCAATAACTGTGTAGTTATCCTGCATCCATTTTTTATATGTAGGATCAGTCTCATCTGACATCACCTTACTATCCGTTAGAAACCCTAGTTTACCTCTACTACAGCATGGATCTTAATAGATTGTGCCCAAGCAACATAATTTGTTCCGTCATGTTTAATTGTAGTCACTCCTATCAGAATGGAATCTACAAGACCAACCCCAACATCGGGATCTACTTCGCCTCACTTCCAAATTGCTCCATCAATCGAACAAAAAAAAAAACAATGTTTTCAACCTTTATAGACCTAACTAAGGTCAATCAAGCACTCAAAAGTCCCAAAACTAGGGTTTCACCATACCTGGCCTCCAGGGAGAAAGAGAGAAGAGATAGCCGCTCAAACCAAAGCTATCCAAACCACTTCCAACTTCAGCCGCCCACTTTTGGAAAATACTTGTAGTCATTCTCAATTGGAATGTTAACAAGGCCCCATACATCAAAATACACAAGACAAAAGGGAAAATCCGATCTTTTATTACGTAAGGGAAATGAAGTTCTACAATGCTTACTCAACTTACATACTTGACATTGAAAATCACTGACAGACACAAACTAAACAATTCTAGAAACAAGTATTTAAAGGACTCAAAAGACATGACCCAAACGATAGTGCCACAAAATAACTTGACTCTTACTTGACTGGCTCAAAGACTTTGAGACCGTAAGACCAACTATATTCTCTAGCACATAGAAACCATCAACCATGTTTCCTCTACCAATTGTCCTTCCCGAATACCCATAAAAAGTGTTATTCCACCCAATAACAAAACTAGCATCTGTTTATTTATTCTTTATTGAACTTCTTTTTTGATACTCAATTCAACTTAACAAAGACTCACCCCAACTATATGTAGTTTTCTATACCAGTCAGGTTTCACCTTTCCACTCTACCGATGACCATATCATTGTTAAATTATGAGTTTTTAAATAATTTCTCAGTACCTCATACCCTTGCCTTTTGGTCTTCTCTAGTTTTGCAATATCCTTCAAATTTGACCAGATCACTTCTTTGTATTGATACAGTAGGTGATCTTCTATTTACATGCCCAAACCATATTAGTTTGCTCTCTCATTTTATCACCTATTATGGCTACTCCTAATTTCCCATGAATATTCTTATTTTTAACTCTATCCTTTAGTTTTGCTACTCATTAATCTTAAAATATCTGATAATCTTTTTTTTTTTTGCCTTCACTGATAATTAAGCAAAAAAAGTGGAATAAGGAGGTTGACTTGACATGAACTTAATCTTGTGCACTGTCTGCTTAACTGGATCTTTTATTTTCGTGAGGCCAGTGTATTTATTTGTTTCTGGTTCTCAGTGACTTCTTTGTTTATAGTCTTATAATAATCATAAGCACCTTTCCAGTGTCGGAATGTTGTTTGGCTTCCAGGATCCATTTCAACAGCAACTGTTACAAATCATATTTGTGATTCCTGTTCTCCAGGTTACTGAACTTCAGCTTTTATTATCATACTTATAGTGATTTCATACATGTAGTCATTTGACTAGTTCAAACTTTCCATGGTTCTCGCTATGCAGATTAATTTCTAGACACTTGGTTTCTGATTGTAATCTTATTTATGTATATGATTATATGGATTCTTTCATAGGTCCTGTTTTTAAGATTCAATTCAAGTTTCGCCGACTAGAAATACCTTCAGACTACGATGTTGATCATTTAGGTATGTGGAACAACATATATACTAATTTATTTCTTGTATGCAATCTGTCTTCAATATCTGGAAGATATATAACTGTTTACTTCAGTTGAAATGCTTATGACTTGCATTTTGAAACTCATAGCAGGTTACCTTTACATAGAGTTGAAGATAAATTTGAATGAATTTCCAAATATGAGTACTCATCTTATTCCTTGTAGAGTCCTTGTACTGTACATTCCTGTTATGCTTGTATGGTGGATTTATATGCATTTACTATGTCAAAAAGTTGAAAGAATGCTGGTCATCTGGGTAATGATTTTGAAGGATTTCAAGTATCTACATGTATATGAATGCATATGCTTCTCTAGAGATACATGAAGATACTATTTTACTTGGGGATTTTCCCCCTTTTGATATATTAATATAATTCAATATTAGCCCTTATTAAAAGAATGTTTCAAACATTCTCTAGAGATACATGAAGAGAGCAATTAAGATGATGCCTAGAATTGTGAGTTGGGTGGGGTTATACGAACTAGATGCAATGCTGGTTCTGTTTCAAGCAACAAAACTTCATTCTAGTTTTATTTTTATTGTTGTATTGGAGAGAAATGAAGAACGTTGTAGGACTACGAGTTTAAGAGGGCATGCTTGTTATTTGTTTGTTTACAATGTGTTGGTGGTTAAGAGCATTGATTTGCAATCGGAGATCAAGTTGTATTCTTTTTTGACCTTTGTAATTGATAAGAAAAGTTTAAAATTACCAAAGGATAACTTTTATAGCAGGTGGATTTTGGAAGGCTGTGAGGTCATTTTAGTCAATTTGATGAAGGTCTGCATCTAGTTGCTTTAGTTGGAAATAATATTATGTTTTTTAAGCGAAATAGTTAAATTAGTTAAAAACCAAATGAATAAAAATCTGGATGAATTATAATATTGGCTAGTAATAAAATATAGGAATTTGGGGGATTAATTTGGTAGGAAAAACATGTTGCATCTTAATAATTTAAAATATTTATGATAAAATTGTAAGGAAACACAGAAATCAGTGATTCCCCAAACCTCTCACTCAATCACTGATTCTTGAGGAAATAATTTTGACAAATCAATTCCCCCAGCTGTATACCAACATTATTACTTAACAAGTCAAAAATTATATGATTTTATAGCATTTTAATTTGGTAGGGAAAACATGTTGCATCTTAATAACTTAATTTACTTATTTATGATAAAATTGCCAAGGAAGTGAAGAAATCAGTGATTCCCAAACCCCTCACTCAATCACTGATTCTTGAGGAAATAGTTTTGACAAATCAATTCCCTCAGCTGAATACCCACATTATTTCTTAACAAGTCAAAAAATGGTATGATTTTGTAGCATTATAAGTTTCAATACAAATTAACACTTAATTACTTGTACATGTGTTCTTCTCTCAGGTTGCATTGGTGGATGTGACGAGACACTTAAGCAATTGACTGAAATTTGCGGAACAGGTTCCCGCAATCCTCCAAGCACTTCAGGTTTGCCTAGACTCCATCATGACTATTTTTTGGGACACCACTGTAAGAAGCCTGCAGAATGGATAAAAAACATACGTATATTTAATAGATGATTCTGTAATTTCAGATGTGGAATGAACATTTCACAGATGAAATAATCATCCACTTCAACATGCATAGTCTTTGTGAAGCACAAAATAGAGTGCAATATGGAATATCCTTTTCTTTTTCGCTGAAGTCTCTTGATTATCTCAACATTATCCTCCTTGGCTCCTGTATCTTGAATTCCATTTTAGGCCAAAGTTCAATCCAATTAACTCACATGTTTGTGAACCATAGCCAGTATTTGGCTTCTAAACCAGATTTTACCACCATACTCTGCTTATTACTTTTCAAAAAGGGGAAGAAAAGGCTTACTAAACACCCATGGAAAATGTGGTGCCAGGACTTCTGTTTTGGCTTGCAGAAGTTAGATTTGCATCATTTTAATACTGTTTATAGTATGTTTAGGGGACTAATAATATACATTCTTTTGGAATTAACAATTGTGTTTTTATCCTCCAGCAAGAGGGCGGGGAACCACAGCATCTTCTACAAATGCCCAAAGAGTTAGCACGATGCAAGGTGTGTGTGAACACTGCAGGCAAACAGGGCACTCTTCAAATGATTGTCCTACTCAGGTTTCACGTCGCCAAAGTGTCCGGCCTCGTGGAAGAAACTCACAGAGAGGTTTGACTTATGAACTACCTTTTCTCTTTATGATCCATAAAAAGACCTGTATCTGCATGATCAACTGGAACATGAACGCAGACATGCTATAGGGTGTGATGCGTAGTTGCCCAAACACACATCCATGTGTGATGGAAGAAATGCATAAGTGAGGGCAGAAAATTAAGATAGTACATGCATTGACAGTTATATCAATAGCTCTTATGAACACAAGGGCAATCTTCTAGGCCCTGAATGTTCATGATTATGTTTTGCATTAGCAACTCATAAATCAGCACCAAATAAGCTTAATCGATAGTTTTATCTGATACTGCAGGAGGATCCTCAGTCTCATGCAACTCATGTGGAACACTATGCGCCTTGCGAACTGCCAATACAGCAAATAACAGGGGAAGGAAGTTCTATTCTTGCCAAGAGTGCAATTTCTTTGTGTATGTAAACATGAACTTAAACGTTAATGTCATATTGTTGGTATGGCCATCATTTGTCATGATAAAGAGGACGGGTTTACCATTTCATTAGTAATTAACACCCTTGATTTCCTGTTTTGTTGGATAAGAGACTTTCTCCAGAGCATTGGGACCACTTTATCTTGATGCTTTTTCTTGTTTTTAACCCCCAGTCTTGTTTCCTTTCCTGGGTTTACTTCTGAAGATACTCTATAAAAGTCATCTTAGAACGGAAAATATTGAGGTAGTGATCTACTTCCAATTAGGGATGCAACTTGGGCAGACCACAACCTGGTTCAACATAAGTTATTTTGTTGCTTTGTAGTTTGTACATTCTTGGAATAAGAAACATGTTACTCGTCAAGTTGATATCAGCAAATATTTTGTTACCAAAAAGCATGTTCATTTTGCTCCTACATATTTATATCCCCACTGAATGGTTTTATTGTTATACAAAGGAACCCGGGAGTAGCTTCAGTGGGTGATAAAAATTAGAGAAAGTAGATTGAGGTGGTTTGTTCACATGCATAGAAGACCTACAGCACCCATTAGAAGTGATCTGCTAAAAATTGAAGGGACTAGAAGAGCTAGGGGTAGACTGAAAAGGACTTGGGTGGTGGTAAGAAATGATTTAAGCATCCATAATGTGATGATAGATATGGCAGTGAACAGAACAGAATAGCAAAACGGGATTCATGTAGGTGAGCCCACAGTTGAGACAAGGCTTAGATGATAATGATGATGATGACCGAATGATTTTCTTCTTTACTGAAACTTTCGTGTTGTCAGCCAATTTGTATCCCCCTTCCTCTTTTTTGGTCCTGTATCAACAGATTTGATCATATAAAGTCATGACATGCTTGACATATCTGTAATGCAGATGGGAGGATAGTGTCAACGGAAACAACACTCAAGGACAAAGTGTACCACATGCAAGTTACAGGCGAGCAGCAAATTCTGGCTCTAATTCAAGCAGAAGGGGCAGGCGAGGGAGGGGTGGACGCAGTGGGGCCAGCACCACAAACACAAGGTTCGTGTCAGCTACAGGTGAACCAGTATCTGGTATGAGCTGTTACATTTGTGGTGATCCATCACACTTTGCAAATGTTTGTCCTGATAGAGATATATGACGGAGCTGCCCAAGTGGAACCTCTTCTTCACAGACCATTAATTAGCTTGCCCAAAATCCTGATTCCATATGTAATATAAAAAGAAAAAGGATACTTAGCCATCTTGTGGCCTAGTCCATCAAAATACTAACCATGTATATCACTCAATTCATGCAGAAGACAGTTATTGCTTTTCACTTCCATCCATCTTTCAATGCAAATATATGCACCCACTATGTTTTTGCACCAAAATGACAATGCTGGCCCTTTTAAATTCTTCTGTAGAACTGCATATTCATAACGACGTAATAGCTGAGCTCATTTCCTCTCCAGTAAAATCAAGAGAGTTGTCCTGCCATTGCACTGCAGAAAAGGGTATTTTGGAAATGCATATGCATTAAACAATGAAGGTCTTTTAGCATAAGAAGGTGATTGGCGTCAAAACAATCTCATCTACAGTACAATGGCAGATTTGTAATGGAACCCACTCAAACTATTCCAATGACCCATGTCCCAACCTGTAATTGGGCACTATTAGTATATGAGGACAACTCAGGACAGGATCTTACTATTAAAAGACTTGAGAATTCGCCAGGGAGGGTCAAAATGTGTCAACTAATTTGATTATTTCCTTCTAAATCCTGGATTTTGAATTGTCAAAGGATTGATGATGAAAAGGATCAACAAATTGTAAGTAAAGATAAAAGTATCGGTATCGGGTATCGTATTGAATAAGTCGGATACGGATATGCTTTGGAAATGCATGGATATAAATGAAAGATATAGAAACACTTGGATACACTAATGAAATGCATACAAATCACATAAATACACTAATCATACTAAACCAAAAGTTGAATTATCTATGAATAAGATATAAACACATGAGAAATGCATACTTCAATAGGTTATATGAAGAGAAATATTACAATAGACAATGTCAGGACTCTAGAACATTCAAACATTGTACAATAATTATCACTCTTTCAATTTTATAATTATAATTTTTAATTTTTATTAATTTTTGGGAATATTTATTTAGTATTTTATTTAAATAACAACTATTTTTAAATAATAAATATGTTTTTATTTTACACATAATTGTAAAATAAAACAAACAAATCATTTAAGGTAGATAAAATAAATTATTTTCAATTTTCAATTTTTATTAAATTTTTTGGAAAAATTTATTTATTTAGTATTTTTATATAATAACTCTATTTTTTTCAAATAATAACTATGTTTTCATTTTTAACATATAATTATGTGTAAAATAAAATATATAAATCATCTAAGGTAGATGAAATATATTATTTTTATAATTTTTTGTTTTTATTAAATTTTTGAAAAATTAAATCTTAAATTATTTATTTTAGTTTTCATAATACTATTTTTTAACTTGTATTGTAGATGAAAAACAATCTAAAAGTACTCAGTATATAATTTTGTCAAACTAGACACAAATACACCTCCATATCGGTGTGTATCAGATTATATCCACCAATATGGTATGATACGGCCCAATACGGAGGCATATTGTACCGATACACATGACTCAGAATACGTATTCAGCCATAATGTATCCTGCATCCATGATCATGAATATGGATATGATACGCCCTGTATCGAGAGTATTGTATTGATACCTTAATCCTTGATTGTAAGAATGGCGTATGACCTTTTTTTGGTTTAGTGTTTTTATGCATCCTCTATTTAAGGAAATGATGTTTTTAAATTGGGGGAGAAAGCGGGACTGTAATTGGACTCCGAAATTTTGAAACCCGATTTGAGAGTGGATCCGATTCTATTGGATTTGAATTTAAAATATGCATTCTATTAATAATGAAATCAAATGTGGATTTAATCCCATCGGAGTCCGGTAATACACACACAATTATATAAAGTTTATAATTAATTGTTTTAATATTTTGTATATATATATAAATTTATTAATTTTTAAAACTTTTTATTTTTTAATTTTATTTACAATAAGTCGGACTTGGACTAGACCCGATCCGGATCCCACCTGATTATAGCCCCACTGAACAGTGGAACACAAAGAAGTAGCAGATTTCAGAAACCCTTTCTGTCCCACTTTTCCGTAAGGTAACAAATTTATTTTCCTTTGTTATGCCAATCCAAACCCAACCTTCGGAATTTTCCTGAAGAGGAAAAAGAGTTTCTTCCTCACCCTTATTCAAATTCTTGGATTTGTTCTTATATTTTTGGGATAGTTTTGTTGGTCGATAAGAGCAAGTATACATAGCTTTTAAATTTAAAATGTTGTGCTACTGTGTGAAACTGGAAGTGTTTTAAAATCAGAAATTCAAGGAAGAAAAGGTAATTGGAAGCTCAGTATCTAAAGCATGATACTAGAGTGTATTTGGTTTAGTCTTCATGCTTTATTTATACTTGAAAATGCATTTTCTGCACTTGTTAAAATCAAGTTGCTATCAGCATATCAGAGGCCATCAATGCAAAACTTTACTATGACAGTTTCAACTAAATCCCTGAAGGACTGAAGTTCCTTGAGAGCAGCTCCTGATAAAATCCGTTAAGTCAATATATATAGGAGGAGCAAAAATAGAACATGCCAACAATGAAATCTTAATATTTTACATAATACATGCATGGAAAAGGAAAGTTACGGTTACATGGCAACACTTCCGTGTCATGATTCTTGAGGTGGGGATATTGACACTACCCAATTATGGGCAAAGTTAATGACCAGAAGCTTGAATCATTAAAAAGTGAATTTGTTGTTGGGAAAACAAACAACAGAAACAATATTACATCTAGAAGGTATAATTTTATGAACCATATGGTGCCTCTTGACCATGAAGAAGCATCAGTTAATCTCATAAGGGATGACCGCATTGCTTGTTCCACCTACAAGAAAAGGAGCAAGAAAGTTGGAAAAGAAAACACACACACACACACTAAAACAAAATGGAATTTGATGAAAAAAAAAAAGAAATTATGGGATATACTAACCTGATTGAATCCAATATCCATCCAAAGTTCTGGAAGAACCACCCCTAACATAATATACATCAATGAATAAAAATTATTTCTACATGCTCTTGTCCTTCTTTTATATCATGTCCACAAATACTCTAGTCGTTGCTATATCTCCTAACACCCCTCTGTTGCAAACAAAGAAGGTTTTTGACAGTGTTATGTTTCTTCTCCAACTCATTAAATTCTTCCTAGTTTCCTTTATACTAGACCTCTGCTTCACTCTGTTCCAATACTTTGTAATCATATTCTACAGTACTCTAGTCTTTATCAATATTTCTTAAGTACACTTCTGATGCAAAGAAAGAAGATTGTTTTGGACAGTATTTTGTATTTTCTCCAACCTGTGAAATACCTCCCAATTACTTTTCTATAACTAGGCCTCTGTTTCATTGTTTTCCAATATTCTGCAACCTTTGGCCTGATAAAAATGTACTCATGTTCCAAATTTAAAAGCATTATGCGAGCCAGAACAGGAATAAGTGTGGCATCTGCCATTGTAAAATGTTCCCCTGCCAGATATGCCGAGTTGCTCAGCTGCATCTCCACTTCATCAAGGAGTCTGATTAGGCATTCCTCGTTTTGCTTTAAAACATCTGGGTCCTTCAATTTATCTTCTGTCTCATATGCATCTCTTAGCTTCAGGTGGTATATACTTGCTAGATTTGGGGACTCAGCCATCCGAGCAATCACAACCCGTCTGATGAATTTTGAAACAAAGAGACGGTATCTTTCAGGTATGTGGGAGAGTGTGAAGATTTTAGGGTTCCAATCTTGTATCTTATGCATCCATTCATCAACTTCTCTGTTATTAGTGGTAGTATTATCAATGCTTGAAGACACTAGTGCAATCCTTTCTATATACCTGTGTATACAATACCATTTAGCTTCTACAAGAGAAAGGTAAGTACAAAGGCTAAATGTTGATTAGACTTACTGGATTATCTCTATCGTATTGAAGATGATGTGAGATCCATTCTGGAAAACAGGCAGTCTTGCACTTGGATTCATGCGGAAGAATGAGGATTCCATGTTCTTTCCTGTGAGAGGATTGACATGGTATGATGTGTAATCAATGTTATACTCTTCCAAAGCCAGCCTAACCTTCTGGCTGTCCAAGGAGTAAGGGTGATGATATAGCTGCATGGTTTCTTTAACATCAGCTCTTGTAGTTGTGTACAAAGTTGAGAGTTTTCATATCAACTTTTGCACCTCCGATACACAAAAACATGCTTCAATAAGGAAGCAGTAGGCCTCTGAAGGTGTTTACCTGAATAAATGTGAAAGGTTAGAAGAATACAATTAGAATATTTCAATGCCATTCAACTTGATAAACCACATTAATGGGTCTTTGAGGGCATAAATTTAGAGACATGAGGTTGTCACCCCTTCTGTCTCTAGATGGTTGTAAGTTAATTAATGTTGTTTATTTCGTGGGGAATATCACTATTGAAGGTCACTTCTAGCTCTTAGTATATTATCCTCCCCTAGTTTCAAAAAATAGTAGTATATAATGTGTCTCAAAGTCTTTCTGAAAAAAGGTTGTCAATAATTTTGTAATGAGAGCACACACAGCTCTTGAAGAAGAGAATTTAGTTCCCAAACAGTATCAACCATGACCTGACCAATATTTTAAAACGCGGAGGCGTGATGCAAGGCGTCCCACTACCTAGAGGCATGAGGCATAGTTCAGAATGCAAGAGGCGTAAGCCTCCTTAAGAGGAGGGGGGTTAGGAGGAGGATGAAGAGGAAGGGGGGATCTCATTTTTTCTTTATTTTTAATAAAAATCTTTTATATTAAGAAGAATAAAGATGCATAACATTAGTTCAAAGGGGGGGTCTTGTCGAAGTGAAGGCGAGCGAGCGAAGCAAGCTCGCCAAAGGGGCAGGGGGCAAACCACTTTCTTTCCCCTTATCTTTTTCTTCCCCTCCCTTCCCTTTCCTTTCCTTTTCTTTCCTTTTCTCTTTTTTTCTTCTCTTTCTTTTTCTTTCCCTTCCCCTCTTTTCCTTTCCTTCCTTTTTTTTGACTTTTTATATCAGATGTGCATGAGGCATACGCCTCTAGCACGCCTCATGAAAAAAGCGTACGCCTCTTGCACCTGAGGCGTATGCCTCAGAGGTGTCAACGTTTCTGGCATACACCTCGGGGCGTTTTGGGAGTGCCTTTCCTGGAGGCGTACACCTCCCACGCCTTTTAAAACACTGGACCTGACAAGAAAATGCATTATAATTTCTGCTTTTCCAGAAAAATGGCCCAAAAGCAAAAAATTCAGTGCCCTAAAGTTATTTGTTCACATTGGCTCAACCACTAAAATTAACATCAGGAGCATACAGCTCCTAGCCTAGTGCAGGCTAAGATAAGGTTTTAGGCATAGCATACTGCATCTAACTCAACTACACCCAGTAGATCAGGCTGCTGGTAGAATCTTCAATACATTGATCCGCTTCATGGTCATTAACATTTTTCCCAAACATTTTCTATATCCTTTCACTTTTCTATATGTATTTATAGTTTTAGTGTATCTATTTTAATTTTTTGACAAGTTTGTGAAAAGCGGAAATAATCTCTTTTTTGTTGAAAAGGAATAACAGAAATAATCTTATGATTTACAGAATGATTCACAATTAACCTTGATTCAACTTTATCCACAATTCACAATACGATTATGATTTTCAGAACATTGCCTGCAACAAACATAATTTCATCTAGGTTCCTATGAAGAAACAACTTTTTTACATTTCCATATCTAAAGGATCTTGTACCAACATTTTCCTGTAAAAGTCAAAAGTAAGCAGTTCCATAGTATTATTTGATAGCCGGTTCCAATGTTTCTTTTTGCCAGTCCAAAGTTGATTGGGTAGACTCTACCAAGCAGTCAAATTTCACAGAATTCCATTTGCCTATAATTCGGGGATTTGATTATGAATTTTCATATGACCAAAAGATTGATTATGAATTATAACATTTGTGTGAGAAATTCCCTCCCCATCTCAGAAAGGAGATAGGTCCTATTTTAAGTAGACAATTATTTCTGCATGCCTTTAGCACAACCACTTTGAAAAGAATTCCAAGCAAAGATGCTGATGCTTGAGAGGTACAAACATTGCAAGTAAAGGGAGAACAATTTGGAGAGAGGATCGCCATACACAGGAAGCTAACCTCAACATAAATATCTACTTTATTCTGAATTGAAATAGCATCACATCAGTGAGGTTCATTGTGCAAACAAGTTAGCAACACACTGTTGAAGAACAAGATGATAGGCAAGGCAGTTGATATTCTCAACAAAGAGCATTTCTGTATTGTTAACGGGTTGTTTGAGGGCTCTATCAAGAAAAACCAATTGAAGTGGAAAACTAAGAGAGAATGTTAGCTGCAGATTGCCGACTCCAATAACAAATTAATTTTGTAAAAGTTGTGTCTTGAGGTAATGAAAATATTGTCTCAAGAAGAATAAAATAGTGTTTTCTTGTGAATGAATTAACCATATATGCAAATTTCTGACAAAATTATTACATATCATTGTCATGAATGCCATAAACAAGATCACACAAGAAAGACAATGAGAATGCCAAATCTGTGGAAAAGGTGTGTGAAATACATTTGGAAAATAGATTAAGTTGATATTAATTAAACGAAGTTGTAATTTTCAACATTCAATTATTGAATGGCTATAGAATGAGGTGGTCAGTTTTTTCATGCTATCAAAGTAGAGCCTTCTCTTTAGCTCAAACCCCATGAGATTAGCATGCTAACAAATCAAAACCAAGATCTTATATTCCATTTCTGCCAAGTAGAATGGGCAAGTTCTGGGCAGGAGAATGCAAGAAGCAGAAAGACCTAATGCAGAGACAAGCACAAATAACACCTGCTAATGCAGTGTGGAGACTCTGATTATGTTGAAGTTCCCTTATGCATCAATAGGGTGCTTAGGATCCTATTTTTCCGTTACAGAAGAAAGCCCAGGAGGTGATTGTGATTATAAAACCAGAAGCTGCCATGAACATGATAGCTGCCTTGTATTCTGTTGAAGACTGATAATCAGGGCTGGACTGTAGACTCAATTATGGGTCAACAAAAATAACAACAAAAAACCCAGTATCGCAAGTGGCAACATTTAAAACTGGGTTCAACGGATCAAACAGAATTCAACTCAGGTTGCAGAAATCCAAAACAGAAAAGACAGTCACAACAATCAGAACCCATCAAATCAAAACCACCAAATCATCAACAGTGCTATTGAAAATGAGATTCAAGTGGAAATGAATTGTAGAAGCATACCAGAAAGAAAGCTTGAACGGATCATAACGAATTTCTCTGCGTTATGGGGAGACTATGCGTGTGTCTGCTGTTCATGGCCGCACGAAAAGCTACGAAAAGAATAGAAGAATATAGAAGAAGGTATAAAGGAGAACTTTTTGAAGAAACGCTCAAATCACAAAAGGCCAGAGGCGTTTTCCAGAGTGGACAAGGTGACAGTTAAGACTTGAGAGAGTTGAGGCTCTGTGCACTGACACTTGGAACGCTTAGAAGCAACGTCTACAGAGATTAATTTGATGTCACGACTGAATCATTTTGACCATCAATTGAACTCTGACTATCGATTTCAGCCGTCTGATCTATGAATACTCCTTGGTTCAGACGTGCACCAGACGATGCCCAAAAAATGGGCTGAAATCTGGAATCTCAAGATTGAGATTCCAATCACATGGTTATGATTTTATGGGCCCTCATGCTAGGTGAATCTGGATCGTCAAAAAGGAAGAAACACATCTTGTACTTGGTTGGCTAGATTAAAGTAGACATAGGAGTTGTGTGGTTAAGATTAAGCTTTCCCCCGTGTTAACCGTGGAAATCGTGGTTAGGGTTAGGGTTTAAGTTGGGTTGAGAAAAGGGTAACGAGGCCCACAAGGCAAAGTGGGTCGAACGTGTACCAAGCCCATTGGATGTCCTAGTGAAATCTGCCTGCTAAAGATAGTTGGCAGTTGGCACGAAACTCTAGGAAACGGGACCCTCTCTAAAGTGGCTGAACTTAAAAGCTTATTGTTCAGTTTGGAAGGAGTACAAAGTAAAGTGTAAAACCTTGTATTTTTTTTTTTTTGTATTTGTATCTGTACATATAATTTCTCCAAACGGAGCCTTAACATCGATCTTTTGTTGGGAATATATTTATTTGGATAAATGCATTTATCCATCTTATTTTATATGAAATGTTTTTTCTCTTATATCACTTTTGTCCCGGAATTTTGTGTATTGGTAGGGGTAGTTTAGTCCCACAACACTTTGAGTCAAGGTTTTAAAAACCAACCCAAAATCGAAACCATTCTAGCCAGTGGTTTCCAGGTTGACAGTTTGATCATCCAGTTCAAATGGATGGCTCGATTCAACTAAAATTAAAAATAAAAAATATAATTAAAATAAAAAATAGCCAAAAAACATTAATGGGTCGATGGTTCAACCATTTAGATCAGTGGGTCACTGACCAATTCAACGATTTTTTACCAAGGACCAGGTTTGGGATAAAATGAAACCGATTGCCTGGACAATCCCCCGGGCTGAATGATCTAACCATCTGGGTCAACCACAATTCAAAAACACTACTTTGAGTAGCTTTCCAGCCTTCTCACTTTCGTGAAAAAGTGATTTGTCCACATAGGAGGGTAACATTTACCTAGAGAAGCGATCAAGAAACTTGTCAAGAAAAAATGAGTTGTCCATGGGACCAGGATCTAACCAACTCCTCCCTCCCTCTGTTTGTGTGCGTGTGTGTGAATATGTTTGGAGGTTGTAGGTTTCTTAATGATTAAAGTTGAATAAAACTGGAAAAAAGTAGAAGCTGAAAGATTTAGGAATATGAGAGAAGAAGATACATTTGTCATTTTTAGTGATAATAAAAAAAATAAAAGTGTCTAATTTTTTTATTTTTTGTATTTCAAATTATACGTGAGGGGTCATTATTTGGTGTAATGAGGAGCCATAATTTGGTGTTTGATAAAATCTTGGACTGTCAAGCATGAAAAGGTGGGTTTGAGTAAGAGAGTGGCCACTTTGTGTAAATAAATTAAAAACAAAAAACAAGGGTTAGTATCATATCCAATCCATCACTCCCAATAACTTAGATAAATTAGACCAACATTGAATAATGGCCTTTTTATAACATATTACACGTTTTAGGGGGATTAAGTGATGAGGATAGAGAAGGATGCAGATGAGGTCCATTCTCCCTACCACAGAAGGCCTAGACTATAGTTACTCAAATTAAATCTTGAACCTTTAGGAAATATGCCAAATGACCATCTCAGCTACTGTATCATTAGTGTATCATTTAGAATTTGTATTTTATAAAAGAAAATTGTGTTTGTGACAATTAAACCAAAGTTGATTGAAAGATTTAGGAATGAGAGTAGTGGGGTTGGCAGAGAAAGGAAGCAAAAGGATGCTTCTTTTCTTCTTTTTGTTCTTTTCAAATGGGAAGAGTTAAGACAGAATAAGATAGTAGAGCTGCTCTCCTTCAACTTTCAAATTAAAGATTAAAGAATCCCTTACTGATTTGGGCACGTCAGTTTTTGTCAGCCACGCTCATCTCTAGTGTAAAAGACAAAGCAACCTTGTCAATATGTATTTTGACTAATAGCTCTGGAGCCCTTTATGAAAAAAGAAAGAATGCTAGAAAACAAGAATTTGTACAACTCTTCTTGTATTCTTTCTTCTATGGTGGATATATGAAAAAACACTGCAAAACAAAGTTGGATATGTCCTTTCATGGGTCTCACCTTTTGGGCCAAGAAAACTTAAGAGTTCCATAAACTAAGTTGCTTAGAAGCATCTCTCGTGTTTTATGTTTACATGCAATATTCTTAATTACTTGTGCAAAAAGCAGCATCAAGCAATCAGTTGCATAATGATTTCTCAAAAATTAGGGCTGCAAATAATTAACCCTTTTCTTAAAATTCGACTCATTTATAATTGGATTAAGTATGGTTTCAATCCTATCACATCCAATATGATATGATTCAAATTCAATTCGATTTAATATATTTGATGCATACTTAAGCACACTTAAATTTATATTGTATGTATTGATAAAATTCATCTAAATGTTGTGTGCTTTTCTTAGAGTGACATTTTATACAAATTCTTTTCAATTCATTTTATTCATGATAAACAATATCAAAATCATATTTAGCTCATTTTGTTAGCAATATATAATATTTTGATCATTGTTAATTTAATTTATTAGTCCAATTTGTAATTAAAAAATATCTAATGGAAATTCGAATTTGATTAGAGTCCAAATTGTAATTCAATATATAATTGAAATTCAAATTGTAATTCCAACTCGATTATTTTTAGTTTAATCCTATGTATAAGTTGGATAAAATTCAATAAAATTCAATTAGAGGAAGTAATGATAACAAACTTAAGCTTTATTCTCATTATAGTTTTGACATTAACATTAAATAATTGGAAAATAATCTTATTATTTCACTTATATGATTTGAAATATACATATCTTCCTACATTCATATAGCATACACACACTACTTAGGATACAACTAATTTGTCAAATAATTCCTAGTATAAAGAACTCTAAACTTTTTTTCCAAAGTTCATTTGCATTGTTAATGTTGACAAGATTATCTTGGTTTTGTTTCAATTGCAACATACAATGAAGTTGCTCCTGTTATTTTAAATTGTTATCCTTTTAGTTTTATTCCTTTGTTTTTGTTCTTGCTTTCTTCATTGATGCCTTGTACAGGCCGTGCTGAATCGATGCCTTGAAAGCTCGCTAGCCTAGCTCAATTAACACATATATACATATATATTATAGAATGTAAAAAAATGTTTCTGGAATATATATTATGAAAATATATTTATGCAAAACTTATTTTTATATTCTATATATAATATGAGAACATCCTATATATATATATATATATATATAATATGAAAATATATTCATTTTCGAGCTTTCGAGCCAAACTTAAGTTCAATGAATATTTAATTGAACCAAGATCAAATCAAAATATATATATATATATATATATATATATATAGTTTGACTCAAATTCAAACTTAAACTCAAACCTAGTAGTATTTTAGTCGAGCCAAGCCAAGGCATGCCAAAGTTCAGTTCGACTGCACCCCAACCCATGAATTGTCATGAACATCACCTGATTGGGCACCTCTTTTATGATACAGGTTGATTGGTTGTAAGATTTTCTGGTATCATTGCAAAGACTCGAACAATTTCTCACATGTTAAGATCTATAGATAGGGATATCAAATATGTTAGCAAAATAATTCCAACATTTAAGAGAAAGTAGAGATTTAGATGACATTGATAAGATCCCTTTACTTTTAGAGGAGTCTCATCCACTTGTAACATCGTATTAAGAAACTACCATATAAAAACTGAAATTTGTAGGTGATGTTTGGTACCATTGCCAAATCCTCTAATGACATTTATAATAAATCACTGATTTTTGGGATCATCTCATAAATCAAAGAAATTGTTTGTTTGATACGATTTCTGCTATGAAAGCTGATTTCTCAATGAGTTTGTTGGCTAATGATTATTACCAGTGACTTTTTATGTGTCTCCCTCATTCACATTGGGTGCGACATCATCCAAAAAAAATCAGAATCAGCCTGAAAAGAAGAATCATAAAAAATGGTGATTCCTTCTTTAAGCCTGATTTTAATAATTGATTTCTGGGTTATTTGCTCACTTCTCAAAAAAATCAGCCAATCAAACAGTAAAATAATCCATGATTTTTTAACCGCTGATGTGGCTCTGACATGGTGTCAATTTTTAAGAAATCAGCAATAATCCCAAACACCTCCTTCCTTAATAGGCAATCCAGATTTTCAAATAAATTTATAAGCTAAGTTTGTGTCTACAAATAAAGAGAATTAGAAAAAAATCCAATAATATAAAAATCATTACAACAAAAAATCCAACAAGAGAAACACCTCTCAACCTCAAGCCAAGAGCTCTACATAAAACTAAAAGTGGAAGGCAACTCCAAAACCATAAAATGATATTACTTATCAAACATCCCTAGTTCCCTACATTCGCTTGTTGGGGGTATTATGAGCGAGTTCAAATCAGCCCCCCACAAGATTCCCCCCCCCCCCAACGTCCCACAGCACATC